TCAAGACATTCCTGACAACAGGTCATTGCCTATCGTCGCTTCATAATACTTTTCCTTCACAAATGGTCGAACGGTTCGCTAAGAGGAGAAAGGGCCCAAGAGGGTCTTGGCCCTTCAGACTATTTTGAAAGTGGGCCTCGGAGCCCTGTGCAATAAAGAAAATTTACTTCCGTAAATATGAATCCGATTTTCGCCCTTATTAACTTGATAATTCGGGAAATTATTGTACGACATTTCGGCTCCAAGGCTCTCAACGAGGCATCTGGTAACCCTCTGAATGGTTCGGCATAAAATAAACTTTATTAAATGTATAATTGGGCTAGGGCTGCCTATGCGACGTGCCATTCTCTCGGCGCTCGTTTCTTCAGGTTCTTAGAAAACGACAATTGCGCCGTCCACCTTCCATCGCGAGCTTCCTTTCCTCATTCAGAGCTCAGGGCTCCAGTTGATGTCACTGCAGAGCTTCTGACAGGGAGATGCTATGGTTCGAGCCCCCGCGGTGGCAGCTACATCGCGAGGTTGAGTTCAGTCGCTGTCAGGAGGAGATTTCTAGCGGCCTGCTGCTCTGATAGTTTGTGGTTTCTTCGATCAACATCAGGCGAATGCCGGAGCAGTAGCCTAACGAAGGGGCCACGGACCGCGCGCGATCACTCCTCCTCCTTTTCTTTTACCTTGATACACCCTCACCCCGTACTAACACACATTTACGTGCACTACACTACACTATTATTTATGCATTACGTTATTTATGAATTACACTATCTTTTGTTGGATCCCAAATTCTGTTATTCTGACCTTTATACTAATTTTATATTTAGGTGATTCACGTTTCCCACTTTCCTAGACCCGGATTATTCCGGATTGCAGAGACACAGTCGCACATGATAACGGACGTTGTTAATATTCAATGATACGTTTGTTTGAAAATGCAATATGGTTTTTTGCAATTACCTCTGTTGAAAGAAAAATGTATCATGACTTTAAATCAGGGAATTAGTGATGAAAACCACAAACAGGTCAGTAAAAGGTAATATATAACAGCATACAGGAATTTCCATTAACGGATTCAAATCTCGACGGAGAGTTTAAATGTATCTCATGAAAGAATCACCTAAGTCGAATATTCTACTATTCGAAGTAGTGATGCTTCAACAGCGTCATGCACGACGATATCGGATCCCACAGATCAGAGCTCTGCGCCGGCTACGAAACCTGCCCGAAGGGGCCTTTGATTCGGCTTCGCGGTGGTTGGCCCGCAATTGCGCGACTCGGCGGCAGCCGCCCGGGTAATCGATGAAGGGGGCGGGCGCTCGCGTGCGAGGGGAATAAGGCCATCTGCACATCTGCACTGATTTCGCGCCACGCGCAGCGCGGCCTGCTATGGGCGCCACCTCCCGGCGACGGGGGGGGGGGCGTCGTTCCCCCGTAATCTGTACCTTATCTATTGAATCCCCTCGCCCAATAAAACGGTGATTGTGATGTCCACGAAGCATACAGACCCTTTTTTACTAATTTCCTTTCTCTTAACACCACAAAGCTGCAACACCCGTTTCGAATGTTTATCTGTCAAAATATAAGAATATTGGCGTATTATGTAGCTTTTCATAGTCCTCATCTCTATAAATGTGCATCGAGAATCATTAGTTTTCTACTCAGAAACCCTTGTTTCCTAACTAGATCTGTAAAGGAAGTCGCTAATCTTTCCCAACACCAATGACACTTATATTCAACGTTACACTTTATTCCCGGTAGAGACGTGACCTGTTAAAAACTCGTTTTACTGCGATTTTTCGACCTCTACCTCTGGCAGGTATCAGTTGTTGCCTATTTCATCCAATCGGGACCTTCAATGTCAGCATAGTGACGTCACTATGGTGAGGTTTTAGCTCTCGATTGGATGAAACTGTCAACAGCTGATACTTGCCAGGGGCAGGATTGGAAAAACCGCAGTATAACAGGCAGCTAGAGATTTGGTGAAATAAAATTCTAGCGTCATGGACGTGATAATCTTATGCATTCATTGCTGATTCACGGATTAAACATTTGGCGAAATGTGTATTGCGCTTCTGTACGAAAGGGAATGTAAGTAAGTGTATGGTTAGCGAAGGGCCCAACACGAGTGCCCGAGGGCCTCTCGTGGGAGCTTCGCGGCGTGCACTTTGCTCATCGCTCACTGCTCATCCGCTCAGGGGGCGTCATCGCCAACGCCACGTGGGCGGGGCCACGGGGGGGGGGGCGAAGGCAGCGTAGAGGGCACAGGTAGGGTCGGGGGGAAGGTAGGGGCTATGGGGTAGGCAGAGGTTGGGCGAGCGTAGGAGGAAAAGAGGATGGGGGGGCAAAGGGGGAACTGAGCGAAGGGAGGGGCAGGAGCAGGGGCGATAGTTGCAGCGGGGGTGAATATAGAGGCGGGGTCGGAGGTACAGTTGAGCGCAAAGGTTGTGGGCGTAAGGTGCGTGCGAGATATAAAAGAGAAAGGAAAACAGGAGTTGGACGAGCGCTGAAATGTGAGGCAAGAAAAATGTGGAGAGGGGCGGCGTTGCTTGCTCCTTAGTAACAGGGGACCCCTCCTGCTTCGTCCGTCTGCTCAAACGAACCTCCAGAAATAACACGGATCCGCATGCAAGAGGACTTCGGAGGAGCTTCTACAAGTACTTGCTCTCTACAAAATCGACATTATTTGTACTCTCTAGCAAATGGAACTACGATGATCAACAAGAACATGCGTATCTGCAAAGAAATATTACATTACAAAAGCGGACAAGTACATTTACAATTACTTCATGCACGTTCAAAATATGTGGCAAACAGTCATTAGCAGCAGCGAGTGATGTGGAATGTGCAACGAGTTGCACACAGAACACTACACTCGCATTGGAAAGCAAGCGTTAGCACGGCCACCCGAGCTATGCGTGTACCATTGCAAAGATGGAGAAAGCAGTCCGCAATGAAACCGATACTAAATGCATTAATGTTCTTTTTTTTAAAAAACAACAACAAAAAACACTTCTAGGCCACTTTCGGATTAATGTGACTGCTATCAAAAGTACATTTATCAGAAAATACGAATAATTTATAGGAAAGCAGTAATATTCAATTTTGCTGATTAAAATGTAAAAACCTAGTTAGGCGCACGCCATCACAAGTAATTTAGAACTTCGTTTCGACCTTACGAATAAAATCAGTTTGTGCCAGAGATTTGTTTGCACAGGGACAGGCGGTTAACAGTATAATTAACTTAGCGACGACATGGGTAGCGTGGCTTTTCTAGGTTAGCAGTTTGTATTGACTGAGAGTCGCGAGAAAAAGTGGGGAAAACGCTTTAGGGCGAGGGAGACGTCATCCCACGCCACTCGCTGCTGCCGACGCGACGCGACGCGACGCCCCTCGGGGCCGAGTCACGGGGCGTCTCCCAACTGCATCCCGCGGTCATCTCTTTTTAAACCGTTTGCCTACGACCTCAGACGGGCATATTCCGACTCCATCCTGTTTTGTTTTCCTTCTTGGGGAAAGGATTGATGCCACAGTTTCCCTTGGTCTGCTTAGAATCACATTTACCGAATACTCTTCTGTCAGTTTCCATGAAAGATTCGCCGAAGATTCTGCTATGTTCACCTGCGTTCCAGGGTTGCAGGCGCTGCATATGAATGCAGATTTAACAAAACGTTTACTCTTTCCGAAGCACCGGAAGACCGAAATAGGATGGAGTAGGGCTATGCCTTCTCACGTAACGAGATGTGAAAGAGGATTAGCTGGGAAGCGGAATAATTGATTGTGAGATGCAGCCGGGAGACTACCCCTTCTGAATCTGTGAGCGCAACATGGAACTAAGTCGATGTTTTCAAGACTTTAAGGCTAAATGCTCCTACAAAACTCGTAGAAAAGTTCTAGAGACAGCAACACTCTCAGAGGCGGAATTACGTTACCAATACCGGCTGAACACATGGTCCGATTTTCAATCTGCATTACTAGCTTATGCACATAGTTTACAATGTTAAGATTTTTGCACGACTACATGTTTTGAAAAGGAGCGACGTGAGAAGAGTTTTGAAATTTATACGAATGCAATGGAGAAGCATTATAAACGAGTAACAAACGCATTTTTTTGTATAAGAGCATTATAAATTTATAAGATACTCCTAACTTAATTTTGCGAAACAACTTTCTTGTGGCGTCTCGGGTATTTGGCATCTGTGCGAGAAAACGGTGGTCGGCTGTTCCGTTTACCTTCACCTCTCCACGATTATCTCGCTACAATTGGTTGAACGTGTAATGACCAGGGCTCAAATTCTAATGACATGTCAGCTTTTCATTGGTGCATTTTAGACGTAGATAACTTTTAAATGACACCACATCTAAGTGATGGAAATGTATAGTTATTGCGTCATTTTTCATTTTTTAGGTCATTTTCTGTACCTTTATGCCATTTTTAACCCTTTTTGTTTCCTTTCGTGTTTTTTGTTAGTGAATGTTTTGTGAATCCACTAAGTTGACACACTAAAACGAAGTTTTTATTGTATCGTCAGTTCACAGCGAAATTCACTACTGCAGTGGACTCTTTGTTTTTCGAGCTCTGAAAATTAAACGGATCTTCGTCAACTTCCTCAAACTTTCAAAACTGATGGTTTGGAGATCGGAGCTAAGGATTACATATTCTAAAATAAAGACTAAATTGTATATAATTTTTCTATAAATAAATCTTAATTAACATTGTAAAATTCATTGAATAAATAAAAAAAATCATAGAAAATTGAGTATTTTGGAAACAAAATATGTCATTTCCACTTATTTTCATGTCAATTTATAGGTCATTTTCGTTATTTTTAAGTCATTTCCAAAGAATTTTTGGGTCATCAAAATCAGAGCCCTGGTGATGTCGCAATTATTCGTACCATAAACTGCAAATGCGTCATCATGTGTGTCGTAAGCTGTCCCTTAATCAACGATTTCTTGTTTTGAAAAAGGTTGTTGCTACCTCGGAGGCGGTGAGGCCAGTACTCACCGGCGTGGCCGTCGGCGGCGGCGGCGGCGGCGGCGGCGGAGGCGGAGGCGGAGGCGCCGCCGTCCCGCGAGAAGAGGCGGCGCAGCACGGAGGTGACGGAGCCCACGCGGTGCAGCGACGCCGCCATGCTGCCGGCGTGCGTGCTCAGCGACGAGTTGGAGCCCGCCGACGCCATGCGGCCGCGCGTCGAGCTGCGCGACAGGCTGCGCTTGGGCGCCGTGAAGTGGATGCCGCTCGTCGCGTCGTCGAAGATGGGCTGCCACCACAACAACAACAACACACCCACTCACACATGCGCTGCCTGGCCGTTCCGGACGGGGAACGGGTTCTTTTCGGTCGGAGGTGGAGGGGGGAGGAGGGTCCCGCACTCGGACTTACTTATTCTACGTAATTATATGATGTTTCTCATTCTATTACCATCATAACGCGCTCGAGTTTTGCAAATCAAGTGGTGTATTTTCAAGATTATATTGCAGATTGCAACTGTGAGAAAGGTGGTGCGTTTCTTTACCACTGCTGCAACACCAATCGCCGGCCCAGGGCTCGGCAACGGCTAAGGTCATTGGCTCCTTAAGTGGAGGGCTTGGTTTTATGGTGGGAGGTGGCAATGATAACCGCAGTAGATGGCGACATCCGACGCCAATCTAGCCGTTGACTAGAGAAGATTTTCCCTAACGACGTATCTCCCACCAGCGGGACGCGGCCCCAGCTGCGACAAGTTCCAAGCACCCGACTAGTGTGGTAGTGTAGTGCGTGGAAGTGTAAGGGGTGAGGATAGGACAAGGAAGAGGAAGGAAATATCGCGCGTGGTCCGTGGCCCGTTTCTCAGGGTACTGCTCCGGCATTCGCCTAGTATTGTTCTGAGAAACCACGGAATACAACCGATGAGAGCAGCCGGCCGCTAGTATTCTCCGGCGACTCTGCAGTGACATCCACTGATGCCCTGAGTTACCTATGCTGGTGCTACCGACTGAGCACGAACACATGGCAAGCGGCGCAGCGCGATTTCAAGTTTGATCGCGAACAACACGCGTTCCGAATCCGCCAGCGACTGATCATGGATGAACTGTTAATTAATGAAATTATATAAAATTGAAAACTGTCTTATACTATATTTTCTCGAAAGAACAGACCTCTTTAAAATTGAATACATTACAATTTTTTTAAATTTATGTATTACATACGAAGCTAGTGTAAATACCTGTGAAGAAGGTTTTCGATGTTGACCTCAACTTGATAAGCAACGAATAAATTAAAAACTTGTAGAGCCTAAAATTTCAAAGGGACCTGTTCTTTAAATAATTAACGAAGTATTTTCGAAGCCACCCTTTTAGGTAGTGTAAGCACAAACGCCGTATTAACAGAGGTGTTAATACAAAGATGTGCGAAGTTACTGCCCAGGCAATGGATTCTTCAAGAAGTAGACAATTTTATATTCTCGTAATTCACACATTTTTTTAACCTATTTCTATTCATACATACATGAAAAGATTTTCAATGTTGCAAATTATTATGGAAAGATGGTGATATTCCACATGGTCCTGTCTCGAACACACTGCATTCATCTACTCCCTTGACTTGCGACTGAATAACTTCCATTTCAAATACACATTTTCATGCAGATATAACTCTCGTGCTTTCGACAGCGCCTTTCAACTATTCGTGCCACTTTGAGCCCTGGATGCGCTATTGAATCTGCCACGACCCTTTGTGTATCTACCACGCGCGGGCAGCAGGCACAAGATAGTACGTGACCCCATGAAGGAAAGACATGGCTGAGCTGCGGCACAACGGTTCTGGCTCGTCGTGTGCAGCACCAGATACGTCACGAACCACGTGTCCACAACACGGTCACTTCGTGTGAAAAGCCAGGGCCGACTCTGGTCACCACGCTGCATGGAGAGCGAGAAATGTTGAGAAACATTTTTAATGTGGCATCAAGTGGCAATATTCAGCGGTAACAAACCAAAAACAACACGAAGGGTAGTTAAAAATTGCTTTGTATATTCGTTTCAATGTCTTGAACAAGGTGATAATTTTGGTATCTTGCTGTATTTGAAATTCTCACTAATACTGCGACGCAAACTGGTGCACGAAGCTCATTGGCTCATAGGCTGCGCTGCGGTTCACCCGCCTATCCACTGCGGACGGCAGGGGACGAGGACAGTAGGACGGCAGGGGCGAGGTGTGGTGGATAAAGGATCGTTTAATATGTAATCTCATATCGCGTGCTTTAGACAGAAACTTCGAAAACGAAAGTTCACGGCTGCTCCAAAACTAACATGCATGTTAGGGCGCCTCAACCAAAAATTTGCCCAAACATGTGAACACCATTGCCCCAGCACATCTAGTTCTCAGCTGCAGAGGTCTGTTCTGCTGCGCACCGCTTACATTCTACACACGTACTCCGAATTCTTATATCTTAGTTCCGCAAAGACATCTACTCCCGAAAAGCAGCAACCTGCCCGGAAATGGAGAACAAAAACCCCAGTCCATGATGGAAAGTTTTAAGAAATGACGTACATCCATTTTCACGTAGTAAGGGCCAGCGAGAGCAGCAAATCCGGAAGAGGAAAGGGATGTTAAAGCGAGAAGGATATGTAATAACGCATTCTCCTTATCTGGGGCTTGAGACATCAGTGTGGCGCTGGAAGAAGAGGCCCTCCATAGGCCGCGTAACGTTGATGCCACAGGTCACCAAGAGAAGCTAAGTGGCAGTTCCCGATATTGCTACTTCACGGAACATTTTATTTTGCTCCATTTAGCTCTAACATTTCTCTATTTTTAATTTCACGGAACGAATCATTCGAGACTCGGGCACCTTTGTCACGAAGAAAGCTAAAATTCAGTGGCGTCAATTACTTCAAAAAACTTGTGTTCGGTTTGACCCTGCCTTCTAGATCAGGTATGCCTACCGATGGCAGTAAAGAGAAAAGAGATCCCCCAGATCAGAGCTTTTTTTATAAAACGTCCCATCTTCAGGTCGCAAGAGCGCTGTGAGTCATGAAAAATTAAAACAGAAGTTCATCTTGGAAGAGAAAAATACATAAGTTTCCTCTGAGGGCGATTTAGATTGAAAGTACGCGTGGTTGTTAAATCAAACTCCATCAAGATGAATTTATCTCCCCAAACGTCAAAGCAAACATATTATTTGGTGATTACATTCAGAAAAAGAATTTTTTAAAAAGGATCTTTCACCCTTTCCTCTCCTGAGAACCCGCAACTGGTGAGAACGCGTTTTTCGATTTTATCCCCAAATTAAATATTGTACGCACGAGTTAATTATTCAACGCCTGACGCCCTAGTAACGGAACACATTTTTAACATCACAAGCGTGAAGAATGAAAAGAATCACATCGAGGCTGCTGAATCGCCGTGTACGCCGAGCGGAAAGCAAGGCTCGGTGGAGCGACGTAACCCAGTGCCCCAGTGAGCGCTGGCTGACTGCGCCGCCCGCTAGAGCGCGCGTGGGCCTTCTTCGGGCCCCTTCACACGCATCTAAATGGCAGCCTTCACACAAGACGCGCCATTGAGACTGTTTTTGCCTGCTGCCTGCCATTCGGCGGCCTGGGACCGCAGCGGTGCAACTCACGAATACCTGAAATCTCCTCTCTGCGGTCGGGGCGGTCGGCTGCGGCTGTGTGAATCCGGCTCCGTGCGAAGGTAGCCTTTCAAGTGGGGTGAGATGGGATCGGCCGGGCTGGGTGGAGGGCTAAATCAGTTGTCAGTGTCCTTATACTCAATGTCCGACCGATTGAAACAATTTTGTTCTTGAGATTGAATTCTAAGTCGTAGGTAGGCAAATGATCTTGGCAGTCGGCGTGACGCCAGGTCGAAGGCTGGTCCGCAGCATAGCTGACCAACCCTGAGGAAGACTACGACAAGATGGTCCAAACGTCGGACCACAGATTTCCACGGACAGACAGGAACAAAATGACAATTTTCTATTACTTTCGTGAACAGGCAAGGAGCTGCTCCAAACAAGAAGATTCCGAAGAGGAGACCGTCTAGACGGCTGCAGCAATGAGCGCGTGATGAACAAACTGTAATTCGCTTCCACGAGCACTGTTGAGGGAGGGGGGGGGAGGGGGCAGTTTCGAGCCCTGACTCATGTGGCGAGTGAAAAGCCTCTATAGAAAGATGCCTGTACAGGCGATTGAGTTGCCATTTGTCTTAATATATAATTCTCTCTTTATTTTACTACACGTATATAAACTTTTGTTGTGTGTTATGATATGCCTTTTTTATGAAAAATATAGGATTAAAAATTCATATTCCCTTTAAATACTTAATACAAAAGATTCGTTCATGAATAATTGCAAAACCCGATAAATTATGTGCCAAAGGCCATACGATAAGAACTTATTTCTTTATTAAACCAGTTGCACGATCAGTGTGCAATCTGGCCTATGGTTAAGGTGCCTCAAAGAATACTTTGCGAGTCAGAGGGAGCGAAGGGCTGACCGGTGAGCCACCGCCGCCACCGGCATATAACGTGGGCTTCGGCGCCCGGCAGCAATGCCTCGGGGGGGAAAGGGGAGGTCTCAGCGCTTTCACGGCCGCGCATGCTCGCCACAACTATTACATGCATTTTCATGCACGACACTTCGATCGATTGACTGATTCGATTCCGGGCGCGTCCTCTGCTAACATGGGTAGTCCCGTACGTGTAGCGCATGGATTTATCGCGTGATGTGGCTGAAATGTTGGCCCGCTGGGTGGCGAGATCCGGTGTCGACCTACGTTGGCTTGTGGACATTTTCTCCAACCAGGTCTCTCACACCAGACGGGCACCGCCCCAGCTGTAAGCTCCCGACCGGTAGCCCGGCATGTGAGTCTAGTGCACGTGAGCATGTGTGTGTGAGTCGGGGGTGAGGGTAGGACAAAGAAGAGGTAGGAATGATCGCGTGGTCCGTTTGTTAGTGTACTGCGTCGGCTTTTTTGTTGTGTTAATCGGAGAACCCACGGACAAGTCGCGCGAGTGGGGCGCGAGTGGGGCGCGAGTGGGGCGCGAGTGCGACGCGATAGGTGCGCGGAACGGGGCGCGAACGGGGCCGCGAACGGGGCGCGAACGGGCACGAACGGGCGCGAGGCGGGGCGCGAGCGCGGGCGCGAGCGGGCGCGAGCGGGCGCGACGGGGGCCCGAGCGGGGCGCGAGCGGGGCGCGACGGGCGCGAGCGGGGCGCGACGGGGCGCGAGCGTGCAGCAGCGGGGCGCGAGCGGCAGCGAAGCGGGCGCGAGCGGGCGCGAGCGGGGCGCGAGCGGCGCGAGCGGGGCGCGAGCGGGCGCGATCGGGCGCGAGGCGGGGCGCGAAGCGGGGGCGCGAGCGGGCGCGAGCGGGCGCGAGCGTGGGCGCGAGCGGGCGCGTAGCGGGGCGCGAGCGGGCGCGAGCGGGGCCGAGCGGGGCGCGAGGGGTCCGAGGCGCGGCGCGAGCGGGCGCAGCGGGCGCAGCGCGGGCGCGAGCGGGGCGCGAGCGTGGGCGCGAGCGCGGCGCGACGGGGGCGCGAGCGGTCGGCGCGAGAGTGGGCGCGAAGCGCGGGCGCGAGAAGGTGCGCGAGCGGACCGAGAGTGGCGCGAGAGGGGCGCGAGCGGGACCGAGTGAGCGCGAGTGGGCGCGGAGCGGCGCGAGCGGGCGCGAAGCGGATCGGCGCCAGCGGCGCGGAGCGCGATCTCGAGCGGGGCGCGAGCGGGGCTCTAGAGCGACGCGAGCGGTAGCGATGGCGGCGGACTGACGGCTGGTCGGCCTTGTTGATGTCGGCGCTGGGCAGCGGCACCTCGATGTTGGCGGTGCTCGGCTGCGGGTGCTCCTCGCGCACCCCCGCCACGTTGTAGGGCAGCTGCGTGGGGAACACCTCGTCCCAGTACTGGTCCTTGATCAGCTCCGGGTGCTCGTGGTGCATCTCGTCCACGATCATGTACGACACCTGCCACACGCAAAAATACAGAAAATTATAGGATTGGCTTATAAGATAAATAACTAGCGGACTCGTGCATTAAACAATCACAATTCACGTTGAAAATCAATTTATTCAATGGAAATAACTGCACTTTAGTATATTAGTCTACACTTTCAAAATATTCGAATAATGTTATGTAAAACTGTCAGTGTTTTGTTCAGACATCCTGCCCTCTAGTTCGCATCTTTGATGTTATGAGTGAACGCGATATCCATAGATTCCATGCCAGACAAAGTCCTATAGAATCATCGATTAACTTAGCAAAAACAACGCCCCCACGAGTCCGATTTAATTCAAACCACTCTTTAAATACTCCCGATACTAATAAGAACAGCATTTTCACATATTAATGGTTTACTGCATAATCATAGGGCAATAGGACGTGCGATCTTGTTGTGTTTGGACGCGGGACATTATTATAAAATAGAGATGATCCCTACAATATTGGGACTGGTGGCACCCTTAGATGGAGGGATATAAAAGTGTAAAGAGATGGACAGCGATATATATATATATATATATATATATATATATATGTATATATATATATATATATATATAGAGAGAGAGAGAGAGAGAGAGAGAGAGGGGGGGGGGAGAAAAAACCGAAAAGAACGATAAAACGCGCTCAGGTTGGCTTCTTGCCTCGTCAGTGAGGTCCGCAATCCTAATGTTTCAATCAAAAGGTTAATTAGCTTTGAAATGATTCGCTTTTGTGCACGAAGACATTACCATAGGAGAGTAAGGCGAGAGTGAACTATTTTAAAAAGTAAAGAAAATGAACTCGCGAAAAATTGGCAAAATGAACATTTCCATGTAGAAGTACAAATAAGTGCGAATGTAATGATTTTGAGCAATATATTTAATAGTAAAAAACAGAATGCCACAAAATGAATTTTTTTCTTACGTGAGTGTGATCTCAAGTGAAAAATTCCTGATTTTATAAAAACAAGGGGCAGATTTGGATTGCAAATATTTTTACACAATCTGATAAAACTACAAGCACCTTTACGGCAACACATACCATCCCAGTTCGTTTTTTTCTTTGCCGTTCGTCACTTCCAGTGCAAGTGGAGAAGCACGTTATGGAACGTGTCGTAAACGACATCGGCCTTGGTGGCTGTCGAAGTTGGCCAACATCTTAACGAGCTGCGAAGGGGTCTAAGAGAAGAGAACGAGGCAGTTGCATGACACGCGCGTCTCTCCCCTCGATTAGCACTGCACCTCAACCCTGAGTCACTGGTTCAGCCCCGTCCAACAGCTATAACCCACTATCTGATCGCTCAAGGGGGCTGAGAACAGAGTCATTGGACGTCAAATCGAAACGACCTGAGGTGGTCGAAATTGATTGGGACTTCTAGAATGTGTTCTGAGGGTAACTAAAAGAGGATGTTTTTTGTTACAATTTAACTTAATTATTATGAAATTTACGTCGCATGAAAAGTTTCGATAAACCGCGCGAATTAACAAATGAAATGGCTTCTTTTTCTGTCTGATTGATCGAACAGAACTGAGTTAAGTTTCAAATAAAACCCAAATATAGTAATTTAAAACTATTTATAGTTGTATTTCATTTTTAAATATCAATAACTCATTAAATCTCAATTAATTATAAAAAATTCAATTTTACATATTTCGCAAAAATAAAATAAAATTTTAAAACTAATATTATATTCTCAGTTTAATAAACTATGAATGTGCAAAATTTTGAATTAGGATATTTATAAATAGTGTAATTAAAAAATATTAATTGGACGCTTGCGCAACCACATAACGTATTGCGGAGATGCTTCAATACTATTACTACTTCGAACAGAGGAGATTGAATTGAAACGTGGAGTCTGCATACTGTTAAGACATTTTTAAATTACTAGGTACGACTACAGGTTATTTTTAAACCTGTAGTTCTGAAAGATTGTTTTCTTTTTATCGGTTGTGATTGGAAAGTGACCGTTTTGACCTTTGTGCCCGATATGAAAATCGAAGCCCTCATCCTGTCATCAGCGGGCCCCGCGCCGGCAATTCATAGAGCTCTATCAAACGCAAACAAAAAGACCCTTCGAAATCCTGGGGAGCCCTAGTCAAGATTTCTGTCAGTATTTGTTTAACTTTTCGTGAGTTCGGTCCCACTGCAGCCGCGTCAGATCGAGACACATATTGCGCTGTCAATGTGCAGGAAGTGTAAATCGTCTTTACTGAAGGTTTTACATAATTTGTGGTAGACTTAACACAATGACTAATATCGAACACCGAAGAGATGACTTTAATTTTAATACATTCAATTTAAAAAAATCACTGTGATAGATATAAGAAGAAATCTGGGAACAAAGACCCTACTTCAGTGCCCTGGGTTTGATTTGCACTATCAAGGCCAAATACAGCGCGCCGAGAAAAAAAGCAAAAAACTTTAATGGGTGTCCAAAACTTTTGACAGGCATTGTATTTATCTCTATTAAAGTCGTAACGAAGCTGCTGATCGGATGATGTCTCCCTCTCCTTCCACATTTTGACCTTGGGGTGTGACTATATTTAAATCGCACAATAGAGCCGGACACAGACATGACCATGCCCGAGTATAGCTAGTTCCGGCACGGCCACTGTCGAGAGCGAGGGTTTTGATTCTAGGCAAGTTGCAGGGGTTCATCCTCCGAGTCGACGGGCAAATGGGCAACGATGGACAACGAAATGCGCGAGGAGTCAGCGGATCTCTCGGCCCGTTCTTAGCACAAGCGTTTCTTTTACATATCTTAAACTCACTTTTATTCCACTTCAACGGATGGGGCAACAAAAGTTTACGTGCAAAATAGTATAAAATGCTCTTCTGCAATGAAAACCAAATAATTCTTCGATCGCCCAAAGCTTGTTTGAAATTTTATTATAGAACAATTTTAATAGTTATTGCGATCAATTATCCTACAAAACCTGTCAGCAATCCTAACGCCGTGAGTCACCAGTCACTTTAAGCAAGCAATTCCTACCTTTCCATTGCCAACGGCAAGTTTAAACAGGTTACGCAATTTCATTTCTCATTCTTTAAGTATTACGTCGTAATGTATTAAAGAGAAAGTACTGAAGCTAAAAGTGGCGACTTTTCTTTTGAGAATTGATTTGTAAGTTTATGATACTGAAAAGATGGATCGATTGACGGCAAAACGTCTGTGTGTGTGTCCGTCCGTATGCAACCAACAGTACTTCCTGACAAGTCGTTTTGGCGATTTTCTCCAAAATTCAAACTCCTTGATCAATTTAAACGAACTTGACGCCCTCTGAGTTTGAAACGGAAATTTTTATTTTGGGTTTACTTCATACGAAGTCAAAATAATACTTTCAAAATTTTCTTAGAAATGGCTTCAATTTTTTTATTAAACTTCGTCCTCGGATAGTTTAAAAACACTTAAGAAAACAGTACATATCATATTGTCGTTGAAAACCCTTGTGTTTCGAAAATGGCGAAAGTTGAAATTTTTGTTCGGCCTCTTCCTACTGTTAGTGCTGTTATAGCCCCCAAGTGTTTTCATACATTTTTAGGTGCCTATCAATTTAAAATATGTCTCCTTACTCTGCAATTCTGAACTCACATTTACAATGTTCAAGGCAAAAAGATTTGCAACAAGTTCAAAATCAGTAGATTCTCGAGTGTGTGAGACACTCGGCGTCCCAGGTACAGTTGCCAACGTTTCGGTCGCCATTCTGCGACCTTCCCGACGGCGAAATGCCAGTATGGCGCTCGAAACGTTGGCGATAGTACCTTGGACGGGAAGTTTCTCGAATAGCCAAGAATCCACTGGCCACGACCGCCATCCTTGAAACCGAAAATTTTCAAGTTGGAAAACACTATCCATGGCATCAAAAACCACTAGACCTATTATATTGTTGCCTAATTGTATTCTCGCGTCATGTCTTTTTTACTGTATTATCACGATCTAATTCCTCGGAATCAATATTCTTTATTCTACATGTAAACCAATAATACAAAGAGCAGAGGATCTAGAAGTGAATTGTTCTCAACTTTAAAACGTAAAGAAGTAAAAGAGATGTATCTATGTTCAATAATAATAATAATAATAATAATAATAATAATAATAATAGTACGTAGAGGAATATTTCGATATTTCTGTATCATGTGATTATCACAACCAAAGATGCTACGTATATTTACAAATACACGAGCGTAGAAATCGAGATTAGTCGAATGTAGAACGTAAAATCGTAGGTCGTCAATTAGTTATCGGAAACCTGGGAATTGTTCAGAAAATAAACGTAAGCACATCTGCAAACTGATTAGGCAGTGCATTTTTGGGAAGCAACCATATTTTGTGCAGACTATGTATAGAAGCACCTACAATTAATAGATTTGGTTCTTAGGAAGTTGTAATTGTAATCTGGAGTATTATTTAACCGTTATCTAAAATCTTTGGTCAAGAATAATAAATCAGAAGAAAAAGGAGGTTGCATAACGGTAGTGGTACACAAACATATGAAAAACGCGAGATTTCTGTGAAAGGGCAAGAAGTGAAAGAAAGAAGAAGGGTTGCAAAGGTCCAGACATAAAAAACGAAGAAACTAAGCCACCACAGAAAATTTATGAACTGTATCACGAAAGATGGAAGGAGAAAACGTATATGCAGTGGCGGTACCCCATAAATTGGGAATAATACACGCTTATAGGAAGAAATCTCATTCAAGTTTCAATTACCGAGCGCATAAAATACAAATATTGATTTGTATATAAACAATAGCCAAACAACATATACACCTGAGAACAAAAAAATGTGGAACAAACGAACTGTAGCAATTGTAAACATCGCTGGCCGAGCCGATGGTACTGCCATCCGCCAGAAAGTGGCGTTTCAACAAGACGCTGCCTTGATATAGCCCTGATTCCTTCCTCTTTTCGATCATTCGAGAGTGAATGGCTGAATGGAAGGGAGGAAGGCGGTGAAACAGCACCTCTCGCTCACCTGCAAGTTGCGGTCCACCAACCAATTCACCTCGAAGTCATCGTCGTCTTCGCCGAACGGGTTGATGAGCGACTCGGCCACCTTCAGCCACCCCATGTAGAAGAAGAACTGCAACACGCACACACTTGACACATCTGACACGGGAGCAGGAGAGCAGGAGAGGACGAGGAGGGGAGAAGAGGAAGAGAGGAGGAGAAGATGAAGACGAAAGGAGCAAGTTACGGCAATGAAGAGGAGGGGAGAAGAGGAAGAGAGGAGGAAGGGAGAGGAAGAGAGGAGGAAGAGGAGATGAGAAGGAGGAAGAGGAGATGAGGAGAGGGGGAGAAAGAGATGAGAAGAAGAGACGGAGAAGAGGAGAAGTAGGAGGCGGAATACAAAAATAATTGGTTTCGAATTTACATTTCACCCACTTCTTCTTGGTGGGTGAAATGTAAAATGTTAATCAGAATAATATTAAATTAATGACCCTGTCATTAGTTTTACTGGTCAATATTAATCAATCCTTTAATGTTTCGCAGAAGAGGGGCGCGGAGCACGGGACTCACCTGCAGGGTGGTGAAGAAAGGGAAATAGAGGTCGATGCTGTTGTTGTGCTTGTAGAGCGGGTGATCTCCGTCGCGCACGTCCAGCCACTGGCGCCCCATCACACTGGTGATGAAGTAGGAGTACACAGCCAGCGTCACCACCTGCGCGTCATCCCAACTTCACGTCCAATGCCATTCGATTCCACTCTGTGTGGCGTATGGCGGGGGGGGGGCAAACCCTTTTCTACCCTTTTACTAGACATAGTGGAATGATGAAGACGAAAAGTACCAACAAAGCGAGGTTAGAAATAATTAAAATGAATGTTCTCGCTCCCGAGTTATAGAACACTTATTTGCATCGGTTAACAAACCACAGATTAGATTTTATAGTATTTCTCAATGGAACAATCTCCACGCACCCCATCCGCCTTCCGAGCGCAGACCCACAGCCCCAACACAGAGCAGATGCCTTGTCGCACACTCTTCAGGTAAATTTTACATAGCAAAATATGTTCCATTATTAAAAATGGGATTTTCTAATACTTCCGTGTATATTGTAACGTATTAGCCAGCGTGCCTCATGGCATCTATTTGGGGACGCTTGGTTGCGGATTAGTCTCGCCACAGGAAGAAGGGTTTTTCCGTAAAGGGAAGAACGCGGAGACGGGAGACACAAGGCTTTGGGTGTCTTCCGGCTTATAGAAGCTTTTCACTGTTATAACAAGCGAGGGGGTGGCGTGACGTAGGAGGTCACGTGGGCCTCGCCTATATAACAGAGTGTACGGAGCCAGTAGGCAGGTTCTGGAGACGGTGGGAGAACCTCGTGCGTGTGCACAAAACTTGGCGCCAAGACGGTGCATATGCGAGCCAGGCTCGCGAGGCTGGAGTCATTAGTTGACGAAGCCTGCGGACTTTATGTCCTTGGGTGACTGCGGTCACGGGGGAGCGATGCTGTGTGCGTGCTCCGAGGTGAAGAGTGGTTGAGTGCCACGATTCACGCCGATTCTCAATCGGATAAGATCGCTCCTGCGATCGAGGCAAACCAGCCGTTGGTGCGCCAGAACGGACTTTGTGTCCCAGCGTGACATCCGGTCACGGAAGCTAGGCTTTGTGCGCGCTTCAAAAGTAGGAGTGGCGAATGCCACAATCAAAACCATCTTCAATCGGGTTTTGGATCGCTCCCGCGATCAGGGGATAGTAGGTCTATCAGAGCTAGGGTTTAAGTAGATTATTAAGTGTATATATTTGTTTTGTTTTCTTGTTAATAAATATATTGTTATACGAAAGCTCTGTGTCTGTGGTCGCTGTGAGTATCCATGACGTCACAATATTATTACTCTTAAATGTGGAACCCATTCTTCTCCTGAAAATGTGTTTCATTTTCTGAGGCGTTCAAAACACAGAATGATTCAGGTTCAAGATCATAAAATTGCATGTCCGAGATAATTTTCTGTCTGGGAATTTTGTTGAACGGTTCGGGCGAAAGATAGTATTTTCATTAGGAATGAAAAAGAAACACACTCACTCACTCACTCACTCACTAACACACACACATAATATTATATACACACACACACACACACACTTTCTATAGCGTAAGACCGAGTAAGGATTCCGGAGCCCATGTATAAGTACACAAATCACAGTTCTCCCCCATACACCACACAGTATTCACCTGCTGTTTGTCGTCGCTTAAAATAAATAAATGGAAAGTTTACACAAGATACGCAACTCATTTGTTTCTCTCTACAGCACAGCTCCCGCAGCCTCAAGATCCGGGATGGAGAACACCTCTCCGTGGACGTGGTGATGCGACATCGACAACAAAACATCGATGTTTAATATGCATTGTATAATTTATTATTAAAATTTAACTGAAAATAAAGTTAGCAAACGCCCTTCCATTTGTGAGACAGGAGGAAAAACGAAGGCAATACCCTTCAGGGAAGAGACGGAGAAGTGGCGATGGAGAAATCCACGGAGCAGCGATTCCCAATTTAATTTCGTTTCAAATTGTTCAGAGGTTGCCGCCGTTTATGCACGCTCTCATCGTGGCGACGAAAATAGCGAAAACGATGGGGCAAAACTGCGCAAGTTACTGAATTCTCAGCGCTGAATTGCTTGGTTGCCGTGGCAAATACCATGTGAGGAGCGAGGTCGCGGTAAACTGGAAGCGTCCAGACCCCCCCCTCTCTCAACCAGAACCCGGACCCCCACTCATCTTAAGCCCGTCTTACTCAGTCATTTTTTAAAATAATTTTTCGTCGGTACAGAAAAGTGACGGTCCAGACTAGGTGTAATTTGTACGAAAAAATGAGGCATGCTTCGTTTTTAGGTGCCAATTTTATCCAGTTTGAAGACCGCTCTTCAGGCGTCACTTTTTGGGACTTTCCGTAGTTTGCGATTCGTGCCTCTAATATTTTTGAGAGCGTTCTAATATGTTCAATTCTCACGTCAAGCGAGTACGCAGTGAGAAATAAAACGTGTAGTATGTCGCCTAGTTTTGTGCTCAGTCCCCAAATAACCAACTTAATTTGCCACCTCAAAAGCGATGTTCACTGTTCGATTTTCAGCGATTTTTGCATCGTTCAGTGGAAATAGTTTCATAACGATTTCGTGCAGAAAACGAAGTGATCGTGTAAACGGCTTGTTCTCGTTCATCCAGTTTAGACACCGAAACAGCAGCGCGTAGAAATGAACGTCCCCTTTCCAATCCAATTTCTGTACCAAAAAAAATAAAAAATGACCATGTGAAACGGGCTTCACAGCCAGATCATTGTGTTGCCCAAGGTTTAAAAAATAATGAAACGACAACCTTAAAACGACTACGATGAGGATTACAAAGCAACTGCAATGGGTGTCAATGCCAGGGAAATGTCGCTGCGTGCGATCGTCGCGGCGAGGCTCACCTGCGTGTACACGAGCGGGATGCTGATGGTGTCGAAGCTGAGCAGCAGGCCGCACTGGCCGCGGAACTTGTTCAGCTCGTCTATGATGGTCTTGACGGCGAAGTCGTCCCGGATGCGCCCTTCCTGAGGCAGCCGCGCACAGCGCTTGTGAGCTCCAGCACTGGGTGTCGGGCTTCAGGGTTTCCAAAATGTGCGCCCGGTCACATGGTAGATTTAGATTTGATTTAATTTAATCCTTGTGACATTTATGTCTACATCCTATTATGTCTACCTCCATATTATATCTTATATGTAATGTATAATTTATTTTACTGAATAATTGTGGATTAATTGCACCTTGCCAGTCTTTTACCAATAGCCCATTATATCACTTACCCATTTCTGTTTAATCTTTAATCAGCGTATATATATATATATATATATATATATATATATATATATATATATAT